CAAAGTCGCAAATTTTTCGAGACAGACGGCGCCACATTCAACCTGATTCAAAACCTTTTAAAGCCAAGTACCTCAACTCCTATGCGTCCTAGGTTAACAAGACTGGTATCGTTGCACTCGCCTCGACATAACCCAAAAACTGAAAGAAAAAAAAAAAAAAAAACATTTGGCGCGCGCTTGAGCCAGTCAGATAGCGACCGCGGCTGGCTGGAAGACTTTCAACGCGGGGGAAAGCAAGCCGATTGGTGACTGTGATCCGTGTTTTCTGTGCGTGTACGACGCCGTGAAACTATTCTTCATTGTTTGAGCGAAACCCGCCACAGAAAGACGTACTTCGCAGTGTGTTCCGAATGCGCGAGAGCGATAACCCCCCAACATGTTTTGTGCATTGTGTGTGCAGGCCACCACTACGGAATACATTTCCCCCTCGTAAACACTATCGCACAAGCTGCCTGCAGTGCTATCACCATGCTAAGTTTTGTTTGCACAAAAACGCGCAAAATAAAAAGAAAGTAAATAAAACTCTTGTGAAGCTGTGCGCTCGAGTTCGTGCCCCTCAGATATGCTTCATACAACTGGAGTGTAAACTTATGCGGAGAGCAAGTCGTCTGCTTCTTTCGAAGGAGTTGCGGCGACGTCAGAACGACGCCGAGCTCCGATTGGCTCTGATTGAAGGATAGTGGGCCTTGAGCTGCCTTGAGGTCTACCCACTATTCTTCAATCACAACCAATCAGAGCTCGGCGCTCTGATGTCACCACAACCCCTGCAAAAAAAAAGCAGACGAACTTGCGCTCCACATATATAACCATCGCCGTTGTCCATCCACTGAAGACTGTTGTCTCCGAGCATATGGGAGACTCCAGCGAAATCGACGCCGCATAGTGACAATGCCGAGAAGCTCAAGAGAGGAGGTCGTTCCGACTCTGTCGTCTGCTATCGCTGCTTGGTTCTCGTAGGCAGCATAGCAACATTGTTTCTAGTAATGTTTATGCTTCCGCCGCGTCATTCATACGAACTGACCAGAAGGTTTCTACTGTCGAAAAATTGCTTTGCTTTTATATGTAACCGCGATTTTATGCTGCAGTGCAAGAAATTTATGGTGGTCCGCGTGCTGAACGACGAAAACGACCTCATTTTGTCTTGCCTTTTTCGTTGCGATTCAATCACGAAGGCAAGACAGCAACGATCGTACGAAGCAGACGAATAAAACATTTTCGCGTTCTCTCAACAAACGTGAGATTCCCCGAGAAGCCGACGACAAATGGCCGTGCGACTGCCTCGTTTTTATTGACGGCGGTAGCGACAATGTCAACCTGGGAGAGCACAGTACGTGTGCCTTTGATAGGCCGGCCAGCAGGAACTCGACATCATCGGTGTCCGCTGTGCTACCTAGGTTATGGTGTACTAGAATACCTACGTCGCGTTTGCTACGCTCGATGTCAGAGTGTCAGAAAAATTTAGGAGCCATAGCTAGATTTAACGAAATTATATCTTTATTTATATTTAGACATGTAGCTAGACCTGGCCGCCTTTGAAATTGGTTTCTAGGCAGTAATTTTTAAACTTGAGACTGGTGGGACATCCGAATGGGTACAGCCATTGGTACAGCACAATTTTGTCCAATATTTTCTAAACTTCTTTTTCACGGCCTTGAGTATGGTCAACAACATCAATGACTACAAGATGGCTGCTGAGGTTAGGCTCCGTTCCATTAGGGTCATAGCAGAGAGGGTAAAAAGAGAAAAAAAAATGCCCTCCCCTTCTCACCCGCATGTCGTCTGCTCCGCCGAGTGGGCAGTACCTACGCCGAGTGGGCAGTACCTAGCATCCGGCTGGCGTACAAACTCTGTTTAAATCGCGTCATTTTGGAAACTTCAAGCGCAGATGCGCAGATTTTGGTATGCCAGTTATCGTGTAATACTATGCTAGATAAAAAGACTAACAGGGTCCAATTACGCCGTTACCTGCGTGCAAATAAAAAAAAAGATAGGGAAAACTGTGTCAGATTGGTCGGTCTCTCCGGCGACAAGTAAATCCGGTTGCTGCACCTTTTTTACTATACAAAGTTTGCACTGGTGTAGGCCTTTAGCGACCATGAGTGGAAGTCTGAAATAATAAATAAAAACGTGCTCTCCTGCCGCAATACACGCGGTAGTTGAGGGTAGTACTGCCGGCTGACTCAACTGCTATTTAAGTAACGGAAAAAAAGATATGTCAGTTGATCATTTACCGAAGTAGAACAACAGAGAGCTCTAGGCTGATATTGGAGTAGCCACAACTATTCTAAGAACGCGAACAACTACACAACGGCAGCCACGAGCGAGAGTTCGAAGTTCCGTACAGCCCGCCGATACGGCCTAAAGATGGAGAATAGCAACCTCCCGTTTTGTCGTCTGCTATACTTTATTTCACCTTATGATGTACCGCAGGAAAAGCTACAAGCGCGAGCGCCTTGCTCGAAGGCAGTTTCGGCGGAAAAGGTATGAGCAGTTTCGGCGGCACAGGCTATGAGCTCGCGCTTCTAGCCTGTGTGCTCGCGCCGGCCGATACAGCCCAAAGATGGAGAATGGCAACCTCCCGTTTACCCCGCCGAACCGCCGAACCCGCTGAATTTCCTGGATGTATGGAGAGGGCGCTGCTGTCGAACAAAATGGTGCCGCCCAGAGAGCGCTAAATGAAGAACGAAGTGGAAGCTCCTCCCGCCCCTTTCCACTTTAGCAGAGCGATCGCCGTAGAGGAGGCGACCTCCTCTCCACCGCTCGCTCTGCTGGTGTGGAAAGGGGTGGAAGGAGCTTCCACTTTTTGACAACTGTAGTACAAACCACCTGAACAGACAGAGTCGTGTATGATACAAATATTGAATCAAATTACAAGTTATTTTTGTCGGGAGATCATCACCATCGCCACCGCCGCCGGGTGACCCTCGACTCTGTTCAATCAATCTTATCTCGACCACGACAATTTTAAGTGCTAACCAAAAGTTCAGAAAATTTGCGCAAGCTTACCGGAAGGATCCGGCAGTGCAGCGACGCCTGAAGCATTAGTTTTCATATTTGGAAAGAGAAATTACTTTTGGTGCAATGTAGGTGCCAATTCTTTATACAGGGTGTCTAGCAAATTATTTAGAAATTCCCCGACTCTTCCAGGTTTTCCCTGACAATTTCAGATGAAATTCCCTGACCACTGTAGAGGAGGTTAAATATATGACCATTATAAAACAGGGCATTGAGCACTGTGATCATTTCGCACAGGCTTAATCCAACTTGCATATACGGGTTCGTCCAGTCTGAATTAAACAAGCAAGTCAAAAGTCAAGCGCATGCTTGACTTTTGACATGCAAATGCTGGCTCTGTACAGCCACCGCCTTGAAGAGCTCTGGAGAAGCTGAGCTATACGCTCCATCTGCTGGGTAGTTGAGGGTTTGGAAAAGTTGGGAAGAGCTTTGTGCACCAAAAATATTGGAGACCATGGATACCGCAGCTACTTTAAAGCCTCAGTGTATGAGGTGTATCGCTTCCCGTTTGGCAAAACTAAAACAGTACACTAAGCCCTCCCCAATTTAAGTTCAATAGCAAAATTCAGAAAATGAAATGTGACATGAAGCTCGTATTTTCATTTTCCTGTAAAAAAACAATGCAAAGTATGGGGCATGTGAATGCATTGAGACGATTCAAGAGCCACTTTGTGTGTGCAGGCTTGGGCAGAGCTTTCTTTCACCCAGCCTTTGCCAAGACGTGACTTTTAGTAGTCAGTCATCAGTAAACAGCTGGAGAGCTTGTCGCAGAATCCCTGCCGATACAAAAGCCATGGCAAGACGACGTCCGAGGAAAACTTGAGAGGAAAAGGACAAAATATAAAACAAAAATAAATGAAAAAAAAAATAAATACCAAAACTTATAGATGACGAAAGGAACAATATTACTTGGAGTGACCATGTGAATGAGAAGACTAAAAAAAGCCTTCTTAAATTTTACCCAGTAACATGATCTGCACAGGGCAATGAACATGACGTTTCACCCCCCTCCCCCCGTCTCACAAAGGAAAAGGTAATTTTGAGTCAAATATTATTGACTCATACTTGACTCGCCTCCTCATTGTTGATGGAAGTGAGTGGGACGTGCAGTTTGTCTGAAAACAACCATATACTCCACACCTTTTGTGTTTTCAGAAGGGTAATCCCCAAATGTCAATCCTGCTCCCTTGAAGAAGTTACGGGTGTTGTGGTGAAAACCTGAGAGTACAATTCACCCGAACGAGCACACACAGCTTCGCTCTTCGTCCAGCAAACACTGCTCACAGCATGCCTGGATTGCCTAAATGCCCTAGCTACCCAAGCAAGGCCAATGATGATGATGACTGGGGACTGTGGCTCTTTAACTAGTGACACCGCAAGGTGGAAATAGCCGCTAGCTATTCTTTTCAATATCAGCCCCCCCCAGTGAATGCAAGGGATCAAGGAGCACAAAGCGTGTCGACAATCTCAGAGGAACGAGGCGTCCTCTCTTCGGGTAGCAACAACTCACCGTAGTGAGCACGAGAGGGGTGCCATATAACCACTGCATCGCTAAGCTTTTCTTAGCTTGCGTAGTAAAGATGAACGGAAAAAAAATATTGGCTGTGTTTCGCTCGAGTCCACTCGAAACAGGTCTGTTGCACACATTACACTGCACTGAATGAATTGGACATGAACTGGGGCTTGAACTGCCTTCGAACCCTTCGAACTAAAACTCCTGCGGTGTGAAGCTAACACGGTGAACAGAATGCTTGCGGCGCATAAAATACTGGCATAGCCGCAAATGACGTCACATGTAAGCTACGTATTAATGAGCTATCTACAGTGAAAAGCTCTTTCTGCTTACGACGTTGAACTGCTTGGCAGAGCACAGTTGCATCAGATATAAAAAGGAATGTGCAACTGAGAGCCACTGAGCCGAACAGCAGCACATTATGTTCTACTACTCGAAGCCTCCCCCATGTTGCGATGCATGCTGTGACACCATGTATTCACATGTGTTCGCACCTTCCCAACACAAGGCCATTCTCTGTTACTGCCTCAAAAACAGGGCGTTTATTTTTAGCTGCCCAAGCCCAGAAACAATGCGCCAATCGCAAATTATCACCAAGGTTGGGCACTTGTATAACTCCTCAACTTTTCAGCAGCAGCTTTTACGACTCTTACCAAACGCGGGTTCGCAGGAACTCACGTCACACTTCGTTCTAGTAAAAAAAGTGCGCAGTAGTGAGCGCAGCTAGTAAACGATATTCGTCGATGTAGTAGACGCTGGCACTAATGCTGGTATCAGTGTCAACGTGCAGCAAACACTTGTGGAGATTCTAACTTGCCAGCAGCGACCGAATTATGTTTGCATTGCACGTAAGCCCGGTATTGCCAGTCGCACATCGCCCCAAAAGTGTTCGACAGCTTGCTGGAAGTGTCGCTCCTGGCTTTTTTGCCGCCTCCCCTCTCGGTCCGCCGCGCACTGTTGACAGAAGCCGTGGGGATGCCAAGATGTCTACCGTTTGCTCGCGCGGAGGCCCCGGGAAGCCGAACTCTACGCCGACCGTCTAACGCCGCTGAGCAGCGTTTAGTTTTTCGGCCCGGCTGCACGCAAGCGTAGCTTCGTGGCCCCAACAACGCGTAGCACACACTCGAAGCGACTCAAATCGGGGGCACGCGCTGACCGCCCAAGGCGGCCGACATTGGCGCGAGCGGCCGAGCTACTCACAAATAATGTCTTTTTGGGAAATCGGGGATCCAGCTGCGTGAAGTGAGAGTGCGACTCTTGGAAAAGGTTTCGCCGCGCTCTTTCTGAGCCAGTGTTTCGAGTCTCGGGGCACGGCAAAGGTCCGCAAAGCTGCATCGGACTTTTCGCCGGCACGGACGGCGACGCGAGATAGCCGTTTGCGCATGCGTGGTTGCCCGTGTCAAGTCCCATGGAACGAACTGCTCACTTCCCGCGATGGCGAACGGTGCGGAGGATGAAGGCAAATTATTAAAAGGATCCAAGATATCTGTAATGGTCGAAGAAGCGCTCATCGACGTCATTATAGTTTCTTTTAGCTACGGCGGCAAAATCTTCCAAGGAGCACTCCTCGATGTCAGCAAAAAGTGAGTAAAGCGGCTGGCATAAAATGCACTCGGAGGGTCTTTCCTCGTCGGAGATGAGCCAGATAGGCCTAGTTTTTCGCTGCCTGTTGCCTGCGATTTCGTCGCGGTGGTCCAGCCTAGCAAGCTGAAAATAGCCGAAAGTACTTCTCGGCATCGTTCCGAACCTGCAGATACCAAATATGTGCATATTTGCCCGATAAATAAGAATTTAGACTTTTTGGGCTTGTGCATGCACAATGCAGGCAGCGTTCCCTGCACTGCAATGGGGTTTGGAAAATATATCTCCCTCGTTGACGGTGTGGAACTTTTCGTCACTAGCGTACTGAACGTTGTTTGTGCCGGTCCGAAACCCAGGGCCCTCAGAGGGCGATGCAAATACGAGCTTTCTTGGTTTTTCTTCTCGTCCTTGGTAATTTCACCTCTCATGGTATGTAGGCCAAAGTGTTTCTTGCAGGCCGCTTATTCCCCTTGCATTTTAGAATTGACATGATTAGGGATACATTTTGAATGAAAATAAAGAACGGGTCATGTTGTGGTTATAGTTTGAGGGTGTTAAGAGCGATTTTTTAATAATTGCTGCATCAAGGTAGTAAAAAAAATTGAAATGTAGGCAGTTCTATTTTATTTCTAAATTATTAAAAAAAGAAAAAGCCTAGCCTACGTGATACAGAATCCCAGGTGTGCAGATCCTGTACATGCAGGCGTATGCCCTGCATGCAGCACGACCACACAATTCAGTCTCTGCCCTTATAGTTGTTGATGCCATACCTCCTTACACAGTGTAATTCGGTGTTGACAACAGAATGTCTGTGATTTGCCCAGCAAAGGATGTCTTGCATGCACTATGCGAAGCTATCCAACGAATTCCTTGCACAAATGTACACGTCTTGACCAAAACCCTTTGGTCCATGCGGGTCCTTAAGGTACATACTCGAAGACTCTAATAAAAAAAGGCTGGTCCACTTCATGAGGGTTTTTGATTGTGAGTTACGTTATGCGCAAACCATGCACCCATTCATTTCGTGGGTGTGGTTCCACGACAAGCTACAACTCCTGTGATCCAATAAAAGCGTCTGAGCGAGGTACCGCACATTCCACAGAAGCCTATGTATGACTGCTCGAAGTGCATGGGCTGGAGGATTCTGCTCTCTGCTGCAAAATCAACCAACCCCTGCTAAAGTACTGTCTGTTTGTATAGCAACATTGCATGGTTTTAAGAAAGCATTTGTGTATCTGTGATACACAGAGGGGTAAACGGAACTGAAACCCATGTAAAAGGAAACATGTCTGTGTCCTTCAAAAGCAGTGAAGTGAGCTGTGTTTGGGAAAGCTCGTGCCACACAAACCAGCACAGCCATAAAGCTGGAAGAAGAGAGTATGTGTTTAGTAAGGTACGTTGTTGGGCTAGTTGGTTCATCTTAGTAAAACATATAAAATAGCGCAACAGAAAACAAGGACAAGAAGTAAACAGGACAGGCGCTAGCCCGTCCTGTTTACTTCTTGTCCTTGTTTTCTGTTGCGCTATTTTATATGTTTTACAGAGTATGTGTTTGCAATATGCCGAAAACTCAACTCGCTGAACAGCCAGTGAGACAAATGCAGGGGTGACATCATTTCAGTTTAGACTTGGAATTACGTAAAGTTTGCATTTGGTGAAGGGGATCATGCTGGTTATGTTACAAGAATAAACGAAAACCAACAAAAAAGGATGAAGACGGGAAGAGCCTTCTTTCTGGGAAAAGTAAGAGAAAGGTGGATTATGTGTGTTTGGTTGCTGTTTAAAGCAAAAACATGTCAGAACGACTTATTGCTGTGGTGGTGATGAGGCACCGTGGATAACACGACACATTGATTGCAGAACAGTGTTCGATTAAGCATCGATGCAGAGCTTTTCCCCGATTAGTGTTGCATCTTGGGTAACCCATCTGATGTCTCGGTGGAGTGCCGAGGCTTAGTGTTGTCTAATCTAGAATTAGGGTTCCGTGTTTTCAAAGTTTGGTTTTGAGAAAATTTGGAAGATGTTTTTGCAAACATTTTTATCTCGAATGTTCTAAGTTATGAGTTTTCGTGGCATTGAATTGGGGTTTTAGAGTTCAAGCTCGCATGCAAATCTGGGAGGTGTTTAATTGCTCATCAAGCATATTAGATGTAAAAAAAAAAAAATGTGCTTTTAGTACGTTGGTTCAAGGAGGTCTTCTTAGTTTGAAAACCGGTTGCCAAGAGTGAGTGCACTTGCAAGGCAAGCAAATTGGTGAAGTGGTGCGAGGTTGATTCATTGAGCGTCCAGCGTCCAGGACTCTGTGCACTTGGTCAAGCGACCTGTGTGACACACCAGTGTGGCCTTTGTCGATCTGTTAGACTGCACTGCCTTTTATGCCACCGCACACGTTCGCAGACTTCATTGGAATTCCGTGCAGATGTGCTCCAGTAGGAACGTTTGGAGGCAGAGCCTCGTAATTTTTCAGTTCCTGATGCCAGCAGGAACAAGATTACCAGTTTGTTAACACACCTGAGACTGGGTGAGAAAATCTTGAAACAACCAAAAGTAGAAGAGACGGGGAAGGGTCAGTCACACGACGTCTCAAACTCAGCTGATATGTTTATTCAGTAAACGTATTAGCTGAGTTTGAGACGTCGTCTGACTGACTTTTTCCCTGTCTCTTCTACTTTTGGTTGTTTCAAGGTTTTCTCACCTAGTCTCTGGTGTTTTAACAAAATGGTAAACTTACACCAGCTCGCCTGCACCCTCACTGTGTTTTAGGAACTAGATGTCAGGTACCCAGTAAACCAGTGGTCTCAAACTCATTTGAGTGTAGGGGCCAGATAGCCCACCCCCAAAAGGTTGAGAGACAATGTAGGGTGGGGGTTTTAAAAAAATTTCAGAGAGAAGGCACCTCACGCTCTATGCTTTTTGTGAACTTGTAGTTTTGCCAGCGACATCTTTAGCCTTGATTTGTTTGTAGGACTACTTTGGGCCTTCACTTGTTTGTAGGACTACTTTGGGCCTTCACTTGGTGTAGTAACAAGTACTAAATGGCACCGTCCCACTAACATGCTGGCATTTTTAACAGGACAAGAGAGCAAGTACACTGTCATTCCCTTTGCTCAGTTCACTCGGGAATTAATTAAGCTCAACGTGTTAAAAAAAACTTAATACGGCAGTTCTCGCTTTTCTGACAATTTTTATAACATTCTGAGAAATTACTTGTATTTTAATGGTGATATTTTTCGAAGGCAGGAATTCCAAGCTCATAGCTATCTTTGGCAGTTGCTCCTGCTGATCGAGAGTTTGCGGAGCCGAGATGTGTCCTTTAACTAAGAGCTCGTGCTTGCAGCCTAGTAGTGGAATTGTACAGGTGATTAACATGACAAGAAGCTGGGAAGCAAAAAATAAAGTGAAGCACGGGGCAAATGAACGCACTTAAGTATAAACTATGAATACGTTAAAAAATCAGCTATGTTTCGAGCGGAAAAAAATTGGTGAGATGCGATCACTACGGCAGATGCCATTTTAAGCGCTTGAGAAATGGGAACGGGGACTCGCAGCCGGTTGCCTGCGGGCAGCGTCCCAGCGAGTCACAGGCCACGTGTTTGAGACCCCTGCAGTAAATGCTCAGCATCCAGGTAGCAACGCAATTCCTCCACAGTAAAAATCTTGCATACCTTCTGTGCCAATCAGTGGAAACGACCCACTCCCATCTGCCACGTTGGACGATGGTGGCGCCTCCTCTGGGTAACGAAAATCGCAAATGTGCAGTGCCTAAACTCTGTTTCATAGCTAGTGTGCAGTGGTGTCAAAGCTTTTGGCGTGAGCACACGGTTTTATCTAGCAGCTCATTTGAACTGGTGACAGCGTTGCACACCAAGTATGAAACTGAGTATACTTCTAACCCAAATGCCATAGAACATGTGTTAGGCTTACAGTTAGGTGAGAATACACATCAGGCAAGTTTGCAGAAATATCGGCATTGTTTTGGAGCCAAGACGCAAAAATTTGGACTTTGTCGAATTTATCAAGACCACAGAAAACAGGTTCAGAGAACCATTTGCCGGAAAGGCCTTAAGAGGCACACGAAGAATGATACGAAAGTGGGTCTTAGCAGAACGAGCCCACGTTGCTTCTCTGTCCCTAGCCGAACGCTGTTCTCTCTTCTGGCGTCTGATAGGCACGGCTATGCCTCAGTATGTCGCCACTTCCGTTCAGTGATGCCCTCTTAAGTCGGCTTCTTTTTCTTGCGAGACATTGTGAAGGCGACCAGAGAACATTTAGCAAGTGTGCCTTCTATCATAAGACTGATGAAGGAATGGATGGTATTTGCAATACCCTTTGTATTGGGCGGTAGCTTGCGCCACCTGGTCCAAAAACATTTAATCTCACTCCTCTTTAAATCTTGCTATACATTCCGTCTCGTTAAATCATCTACCCCACCAATTTTCTGTATTATCATGGTTCTCTAGACCTTTTTCACCAGTCTTCTAACCCCCCTTTTTTTATGTAATTCTTTGTTAGTCTGTTCTTACATCCTTGCCAGCAAACTGCACTCGTTCCAAATTTATTACCCCTTCAAGGAAGGCAGGACGAAGCTCGGTGCACTTCAAACCCACATATTCTAGCGTGTCGCTTTCACTATGGCATATGGCACATATGTGTCTATCTCTTCAAATTTAATCCGATATGTCTTTGTCCTTTACAGTCCCATTCTCATAAACAGTGATGTGCTTCCCCGTGAATTATCAAGCGGCTATCCTTTTCTTATATCCCGTTTTTCTGACCTATACATTGCTAAAGATGATTTCTCTTGCACTCTTCCCTCTCAAATTTGCCTTTCTGCTTCTTACTGGTCAGTCTTAATATTCAGGCAAGTAGAAGAAAATAAAAGTGGTAAAAATATGTATTTTGCGACGTCTTTACTCTCTGATAGTGTGTTTCACCTTGGGTCAGAGCACAGACAAAGAGTAATCACATTTTTTTTTAAAAATGGTTGAGTCGCATGTAGTTG